ATTTTTTGAGCTAAAAATAAAAAATATTTGTTAGTAAAATTAAAAACTTTTATATGTAAGGAAAAATACATATTTTATTAATTATAATTAGTAAAAAATTTAAGCGTTGCATTATTTTTGATTGCCACTGTATAATTTAGTTATTAAAAATTTTTAAAAAAATAAAAAAATAAATAAAAAAAATTATTAGTAAATATAAAAAATAAATTATAATAATAAATTTATAATTTATAAATATATAATTTATTACTTTATAATTAATTAAATATAATTATATAATTATATATATAATTTGTAATAAAAAAATAAGAATTTTTAATTTTAAATAAAATTTATAAGAAATAATTATTATTTAAATAATAATAAATACTTTATATATATTTTTAATATTTAAGAATAAAAATTAATATAGTTTTAATAAAAATCTTAATAATATCAAATTTAGGTTTAAAAAATTTATTTTTTTAAATTTATATATAATATCTAAAATTATCAAATATTTATGTTTTATAATTATATAAACTTCTTGATTAAAAAGTAAAATTCAATTTTAATTTGAAAATATGATCAAGAAAGACTTAAATATTATCATATTACAAAATTTTTACAAAATTTTAACAAATTATTTTATATATTACTCTTAAGTAAGTTTATTTATTGGATTATAAGAAGAATTTTGATAAAAATTCAATAAATTTTCATTTTGTAATAAAGAAAATATGATTAAAATTATTTTTGTGCAAAACTTTTTATATATAAAATTTTTTTAATCATTTTTCTAAATTAATTTTTTAATCTAATAAATTAATTTTTAAAAAAATAATACTAATATTCTTTAATAAATGATAAAAACGTTTTTTGTATTATTTGAGTAATTTTTATTTTTTTGTCCCACACTGTATAGTGGTCAAGATATTTATTTAATAAGAAAATTAATTCAACTTTGAATTGCTGCTATTTTGTCAAAACTTAATTTGTCAAAAATCTAAGGACGTAACTTTGTTTAGTAATAATTTAAATTTTGTTAATTTAGTGATTGGGACTAGGTTGTATGCACTGTACAAAAAAATTGCTATGCAATTTAGTATTAGATTTAAATAACGAACATAATGAAGCATTTGTTACAAAAGAAAGTACTATTATTAGATGGCATCAAAATCTTTATTACTCTACATTATTTTTTGTAGTGTCTGGTTTATGTTCTGTAATTGCTGGTTTTTCATCAATTGGTTTCATGGCCGGGAACAAAAGAACCTAATAAAAACAATCATATTAATTATTTTATCTTTTGAAGTACTTTAAACAAAAATAACATAATACCTCTTTGATATTAGAGCTGTTAGTCAAGAACATAGTGAGACGGTCTATTCCCATTCCCCAACCGGCTCTACAATGATATAAGTAATAATTCAGTCTCAAAATAATCTTGACAGAAATCATAAAATTGTGCTAAGGCTAATGTTAAA